CATCTTACAGACGTTTTAATTTTAATTTTCTGATTTAACGAGAACATCCATAAATTCAGGGTTGATGATAGAAACATTTCTCAGAGCTGACATTTGGAGAAGTTTTCAGATTATTTTGTGCCAATATTTCATTTGATAGTTTTTTTTTTACAGTTTATTTGACAGAAAAAAACCCAAACATTCAGTTTTTCATGACTTCTGAACCATTTTCATTATTTTATATTCTGGTTCATATAGAGTTCCTGTTGGTGGATCTTAGCCAAGACAAGCTAACATCAGCTAATGTAGTGTTAGCTGCCTCCTCCAGTCTGGTGTCTGCGGCAGTTACTCTGTATGTATATATATATATACATATATATACATATATATATACATACATACTGTAAGTGAATCAAGGATATGAGAGTATTTTTGGGGATTACTTATTTTCCCACCTGTTAAAGGTCGTTCTTAGATCGAGGACTAATTTGAATTCTGCCTCTTCGTCACCTCTGTCCTGTTTAGGCAGCAGAAAAACATTAGTTGTTATTGTGGTCTTTCCAGATGCTTCCATTTGTACCAGCGTGTCCTCATCCTGCAGGACAATAAGACCTTCAGTACCTTGTTTGCTCCGATCACGACGTCGCTCTTTACAGAACACCGTGTTTATATTCACCGGCCGGAACGGTCCGGAATGTTTTTGTTAAACAAGCAGTGGATGATTTAAAGAAAGAAAAGAAAAGAAAAGAAAGAGAGGAAATAACTCTTTGCCTGTCTTCAGATAAATGCACAGAGGCCGGCGTCTGGTGTAGGAGTGTAATCTGTGGAGCAACAATACGCCGGCCTGACGGGAGACGCAGTAATCGAGGCTGGACCTCCGCTCTCCCTGAGCACAGGAAGATTACACTGTAAAGCTGTGACACCACAATGGTCCTGACACAAACACGCGTGTGCGACGGCTGCGTCCGACCACAGCCTCTGCAAGGTTACCCCCCCCCCACTCCCCTACACCCTGGATTCACAATGAAGTCTTTATTAGGAGCTCTGCCAGCAGAACCCACGGATGGAAGTCTGATGAAGCTCCGCTGCCAACAATGAGCCGAGACGAGGAGCGAGTGACACTGAAAATAAATGAGACGAGCTCGCAGTCGGCCACGGAGGCCGTGAACGCTGTTTATTTTCTCACGTCCTCTGTTTGCCGGTGCGTTCAAGCATTCAGAGCTCTGTGAATGAACGTTTAAACGTTTTATTTTCTGGCTGAATATCCTCCGACTTAACAGTTTTAAAAGGTTTGCTCTGTTTTTTTGTTTTATCATCTTTTTTTTCCCCCCTCTCTTTACTTTGAGCTCCTAAGTTTTTATTTATTCATCCAACCTTTATTTACACATTGCCATTCTCTGGCCGCAGCGTTACTCCTATTTGCATAGGCTGCTTGTTTACATATGACATTTAAACACAAAAATGTCACAAACAATAACAAACACTGGGGGCTGTATTTTAATCGTGAAAAAAAAAAAAAAAAACTCCAATAAATCTCCAGGTGCCGGCGCTCCTCCTGGGTGGAGTGTTGGCGCCGCAGCAAAGAGCTGCTTGAAAAAGAATATAAATCAAAGTGTTCTTATTAATTAACACTCAGCCAATCACAGCGCTCCTGTCTGTTGGCGTGATGCATGAGTCAACATCTCCAGAAATGAAAAGTGGGTTCTTAAGGAAATCATATTGTTGTCAGGATGATGCAGTGAGGCACACCAATCACCAGCCTCAGACAGATGGCGCCGTTTTTTTTTTTTTTTTTTAAATTTAACTTGTATTGAGATGATAGACGTAAAACACAGATGATGTGTTTTTGTTTGTTTGTTTTTTTTCTGCTTCTATTTCAGTCACAGCTCCTTGTTACAGTGTCTTACATCACTGTTTTTAATCAGTGAAGAATCCACTTTAAAATGCAAGTTAAATGGCCTTAATGAAGACAATATTATTTTCATATTTGTCTTTTAGAATCTTCTGAAATCACAGCTTTTGTCAATCACTCATTTAGTCATTTATTTTCTGTTGCCCTATTTTTAAAAAATAAAAATCCGAGCTTCACTGGTTATGGAAAATGGCTGACCTTTGTCTGGCCCATTAAAAAAAAAAAGAAAAGAAAAGAAAAGAAAAGAAAGAGAGGAAATCAATGTTTGCCTGTCTTCAGATAAATGCACAGAGGCCGGCGTCTGGTGTAGGAGTGTAATCTGTGGAGCAACAATACGCCGGCCTGACGGGAGACGCAGTAATCGAGGCTGGACCTCCGCTCTCCCTGAGCACAGGAAGATTACACTGTAAAGCTGTGACACCACAATGGTCCTGACACAAACACGCGTGTGCGACGGCTGCGTCCGACCACAGCCTCTGCAAGGTTACCCCCCCCCCACTCCCCTACACCCTGGATTCACAATGAAGTCTTTATTAGGAGCTCTGCCAGCAGAACCCACGGATGGAAGTCTGATGAAGCTCCGCTGCCAACAATGAGCCGAGACGAGGAGCGAGTGACACTGAAAATAAATGAGACGAGCTCGCAGTCGGCCACGGAGGCCGTGAACGCTGTTTATTTTCTCACGTCCTCTGTTTGCTGGTGCGTTCAAGCATTCAGAGCTCTGTGAATGAACGTTTAAACGTTTTATTTTCTGGCTGAATATCCTCCGACTTAACAGTTTTAAAAGGTTTGCTCTGTTTTTTTGTTTTATCATCTTTCTTTCCCCTCTCTTTACTTTGAGCTCCTAAGTTTTTATTTATTCATCCAACCTTTATTTACACATTGCCATTCTCAGGCCGCAGCGTTACTCCTATTTGCATAGGCTGCTTGTTTACATATGACATTTAAACACAAAAATGTCACAAACAATAACAAACACTGGGGGCTGTATTTTAATCGTGAAAAAAAAAAAAAAAAACTCCAATAAATCTCCAGGTGCCGGCGCTCCTCCTGGGTGGAGTGTTGGCGCCGCAGCAAAGAGCTGCTTGAAAAAGAATATAAATCAAAGTGTTCTTATTAATTAACACTCAGCCAATCACAGCGCTCCTGTCTGTCGGCGTGATGCATGAGTCAACATCTCCAGAAATGAAAAGTGGGTTCTTAAGGAAATCATATTGTTGTCAGGATGATGCAGTGAGGCACACCAATCACCAGCCTCAGACAGATGGCGCCGTTTTTTTTTTATTTTTTCAAATTTAACTTGTATTGAGATGATAGACGTAAAACACAGATGATGTGTTTTTGTTTGTTTGTTTTTTTCTGCTTCTATTTCAGTCACAGCTCCTTGTTACAGTGTCTTACATCACTGTTTTTAATCAGTGAAGAATCCACTTTAAAACGCAAGTTAAATGGCCTTAATGAAGACAATATTATTTTCATATTTGTCTTTTAGAATCTTCTGAAATCACAGCTTTTGTCAATCACTCATTTAGTCATTTATTTTCTGTTGCCCTATTTTTAAAAAATAAAAATCCGAGCTTCACTGGTTATGGAAAATGGCTGACCTTTGTCTGGCCCATTAAAAAAAATAAAAATAAAAAATTCTAATCCACTAAGTTCTCATTAGTGCTCCAACGACCAGGTCATCCTTTTGGACTACTTTGTTTATCAACCATTTTCCTCTAAATGAGATTGTAATAAACCAAATAAACATGAGGCTGAAAATGATTTTTTTTTTCATATGGGCATTTTTTTATGTGCCGTTCCAACTGAAAGCTGAAAACTGTGACAGGATTATGCAAAACCAGCAGCTCCATTCCTCACATACTTTCATGGACGAGCTCTTTTTCATTCTGTTCTCATTTTCCTAGAGGTTTAAATGTAAGCTAATGCTACTAATAGCTCCTACACTCTCTCGGCGTCTTGATTGCCAACTCTTGAAACCCGCAGCTGCAGAATAAATGTCTCTGCTGCTGCTGTTACAAATATTCCAGCTCTGAGCAGAAAAAAAAAACTCTTTGTGTTCAGTAGTTGTTTTTTTTTTTCTGGTTTTACACCAGGAGGTGTTTCGGTAATAAATGATGAAATACTCCTTTATTAAAGAACCGTTGTGTACAGTCCGAGCTCAGTTTCTGCTTGATTTGGCTAGGGTAAACCCTAGTGGACAGCTGTGGTACAGCGACTGTGATGTTGACGCTGCAGATTCGTCAACATTTCAGCCTCATCACGTTAAAGAGTGACAGTTACCTGGTCTCCTTGGACGTCACGCCGGTCCCTGAACCACGGGTTTACATTTCACAGTTTCTAAGTCCAGGGGATGAGTGTGAGGTCGGCGAGTACAGACTGTAGTGCTGTAGGTGATGAGTGCTGTACGACCTGACAGAAGGAACCGCAGCTCTGGGTCAAGTTGGTGAAACAGTTGGTTCATGAAGACAAAAATAATTAAGCTAGTTTTTTTTTGCAGGCGTTAGACTGAACTCTCTCTGCTGCTCTGATGCATTGTGGGAATTGGCCGGGGATGCGTCTGCGAGTCTGTCTAATCACACTTTTAAAGCCTTTATACTTAACATTTGCCAAATTAGACTTCAAACCAGGGCAGAAAATGTGAAAGTCTTCAGAAAGATTGAACGTCAGAGATGAGAGTGAGACGAAGAAACGTACGATTTCTGTACGATTTCATATCATTTTCCTCCTCATAAAGCACTCGCAGCTCACACACAGTTATTTCTGGTAGATTTCTACACAGCGGGGGGTGGAAATAAACCCTCCAGATCCAGCTAATAAGATCATCAGGCCCCGGAAAAAAAGAGCTTCCCTGATAATGTGACTGTATATTAATTCACCTCATTAGCTGCTCTGGTATGGAATCAGACGGAAACGATATCGACTCCAACAAACACTGAATCCTTCGTTTCTAACTTCATTAATTATCGCCAGTTTTGTTNNNNCCCCTCCCGACCCCCAGACACCTGGTCTATTAATGTCTTTTCTAAGTATGGCACATGTTAATGTACTCTAGTCAGAACACACACTGACGTCTGGTTTTTTTTGTTTTTTTTTTCGCTAACAGTTCGAGGCATCTGTGAATGAAGGGTCTACAGGCAACGTGGTCAACCTGACGGTGGACGACAGAGACGACCCGGCCACCGAGGCGTGGAGAGCCATCTACACCATCATCAACGGAGATCCGACGCAGAGCTTCGAGATCCAAACCAATCCAGACAACAACGAGGGAATGCTGT